TCACTTCCTGACTAAAGATTTTCCCTTATGTCTCAACTTAAATACTCTAGCTAATTTATGGCCATGCAAATAATAAAATGTATATAATGAAATGATTGGTTATCTCGAAATAGCCGACAAATCAGTGTACAGAGGATGCCAATTTTGGTTGTGGAATAAACCACTCTTAATCCAAGCTCTACCAATTTAAAGTAGGAGACTCGGGTCAATGATGTCATATCTATTTTCATTACCAACAACACTGGGCTCAGCACATTCCAAGGTATTTCACAATCACCATGTCACTGTCTGAGCCATACCATTATGCCACAGGGAGAGACAGGATGTATGTATCTCAAATTCTGCTGACAACACAATCCAGTGACTGTATCAGCAGTCTTAAAAATAAACATGTGCAATGGGTTGTTGCAAAGTATCCAAACATGTGCACTTTTCATTCACACAGCCAGGGCTCTGTACTTTTAACTTACAATTTATGTCACAATATAATTTAATATTGACTGGTCAAATAACTTTTAATTGCACAGATACTTTCCAATACAATTGTTGTTAGAAAAAAAAAATCCCCATATTGTGATGAATCACTTTATTTTCAGTACAAGTGTTACTAATATTAAAGACAATGACTACAGAGTCAAAAATATGTGTATCATATCATCTACGTTCCAACATACATGCCAAACTAAATTTTAAAACATACATCAGTACAGAATACATATTTTGTATAAAATACAGAGTGATATTGAAATACATAATATTTAACTTAATGAGCAAATCTGCAAATCTGTATATTAGAGTCTTCATAGAGTCCTCATAACAAATGTTGAACACCAGCAGCAGCAGAACTACAGTCATTCAAACAAAAATAACCCAATTTCGACAGTTTTGTTTAGCACTTTTGTATAATTTGAGACAGGTCAAGTCCTTCAGATGCCTTATACAGCATTACTTCAAACTTCCTTCAGCGAAGCATAAGAAATCATTTCAACCACATCAGAGGTCAATTGTAGGTTTACTTTTGAATTTCTTCACTGATCTTTCACTTGCTCTTCTTCTTAAATGATTCCCATACAGTGTTACTAATAATGATTGTACCTCTACACAGAAAACAGTATTCACTTTTGGAATAGCTACAAAAAAGAATTAGATTGGAAAGGATTACAAAACTTGTACGATATATATACATATATGTGATGAAATGCAGGAATCGAACAATTTTATTTTTTCCTTGACCAATGTCCAAAATGGGAATAATAACAGTAAAATAGACTCAGTTAGCATTGCGTGGACATATAAATGTATTGCATTAAAACATCAAACAACTTTGAAGTGAGAATGATCCTTACTTTTTAAGATATCATCTTTTGTAATAATTTTGAAAACATTCTTTGTCTCCTGAACAACAATTCCTGTTGTACCTACATATGATGGACACTTTGACTTGGTCACTGTGAATACAAATGAAAACATGTGATTGTAAATCATATCTGCCCAGTCTTCGACTTCTATTAAATGGTACAATGAAACAGAAGGGATAAGACTTCTATTAGAGCCCCTAAAACATACAAGAAATAGTGAATTTGTGATTTTCAATTATGGGTTTGACTTCTATTAGAGCCCCTAAAACATACGAGAAATAGTGAATTTGTGATTTTCAATTATGGGTTTGACTTCTATTAGAGCCCCTAAAACATACGAGAAATAGTGAATTTGTGATTTTCAATTATGGGTTTGACTTCTATTAGAGCCCCTAAAACATACAAGAAATAGTGAATTTGTGATTTTCAATTATGGGTTTGACTTCTATTAGAGCCCCTAAAACATACGAGAAATAGTGAATTTGTGATTTTCAATTATGGGTTTGACTTCTATTAGAGCCCCTAAAACATACGAGAAATAGTGAATTTGTGATTTTCAATTATGGGTTTGACTTCTATTAGAGCCCCTAAAACATACGAGAAATAGTGAATTTGTGATTTTCAATTATGGGTTTGACTTCTATTAGAGCCCCTAAAACATACAAGAAATAGTGAATTTGTGATTTTCAATTATGGGTTTGACTTCTATTAGAGCCCCTAAAACATACAAGAAATAGTGAATTTGTGATTTTCAATTATGGGTTTGACTTCTATTAGAGCCCCTAAAACACACAAGAAATAGTGAATTTGTGATTTTCAATTATGGGTTTGACTTCTATTAGAGCCCCTAAAACATACAAGAACAAGTCATTGTCAATGACACGTCCCCGTTCCGTTCATATTTGAGTGACATATACATTCAAAGCAGATCATGACCGAAATGCACCTGCATATGTACAACACATTGTGCTACATCTGAACAAAATCCATCCATGCATGACTGAGATCCGGTTCTGGAATTGTGAAAATATGTGATTTTGATGCATTTTCGGCCTTAAAATGGCCATCATTCCGCTATTGTTAAGCAGATCATGAAACAAATGCACATATCTATTTGTGACATGAT